AATTTGGAAATATTTAAGATCTCATATGATAAAAAATTTAAATAAAAATCTGTAGACGAAGAAGAAGAAGAGCGAAGCGTAAAGTGAACCTGATGCCCGGGCGACAGTTGTTGCAGTTGATGAACTGCGCCGGCTGCCAGGACTCTGCTTATATTCGTTTCACTTTTCTTCAATCTGTTTTTTAAGGGGACATTCAAGGGGCCGCCGCGAAGCCAATCAAAAACTGGCGCAGGGCAGCAGCTTGGAGCTCAAATTTGTTGGTGGATGCATTTTTATAAATGTTAAGCGTGTGGTTTTTAATTACCGTTAGTCTGGCTGCCTGGCAGGCGTCTTTGGTATTTATGAGTCGTTTTTTTGTTGCTTTATTTTAGTTAGTTTGACATATGGCACGCGTTGCGCTTAGAGATTGGGGCGCAGCATGTTGACTTCTTGGCAGCTGCTGGACCGTCGTCCCTGCGCGTCAGTTCAACTGAAAGTTTGCACAGCGCTGTTAACATTGCGCAAACATGCCACAAAGAGCCCTGACAACGTCCCGTGTTTTCAATTGCAACATGAGTCTTGTGTTTCATTGTCGCTGCTAAAGAATAGAAATGTGGCAGGGAAAGAAATCATTTGGTGCCTGCAGAGTGTACCCACCCTATGGCAACGACTGTGTCCCTAATGTCCTTTGCTTGATATATTTCCTACAATTTATTTTACGATTTGGCTGCTTTACGCATTGTGCTCGCGTCTCTTGATTTTCCATGGCTGTTAAATTGATGGATTGCTGTGCGACTTTTGACACCGCATACAATTGCATTTCCCTCCAGACATCAGAAAGTCAGCTAAGGAGCAACGAAATCTTAGCTGCCAAATCTTGAGCAGCCATGAATAATGCGACTTACAACTGACCCAGCTCCCAGGGGATATCCGTCTGACTTCCTTCAACTATTGAATATATGCAGTATTTGCTTAGCCAAATTCACAACAGATATTTGCTGTTGGAATTTATGAGATTTTTTATGGACAAATCGTAAATTTTGCTTTAGCTAATGAGTAAGGAAAACGTATTGGATTACAAAATGAAATCTGTCAATCAATGTAATTAAAATCAAGGAAGCTGCGAGTGATTGAACTAGAAGTAAAATATTGGAAATCAATTTCTAAAATCTTTAGGCCTTAGTGTAATATCTGGCAAAGTTGAATCAGCACTTGTTCCACTTCAAATAACGCAAGTACTAATGTATCTATGTCTGGCTTCACATACACACGCACACACAGGCATGCCATAAATGTATGCATGTGCAGATACTTGTACAAAGTCAGAAGAGAACGGACGCAGCCACTTGAGAAATCCACCTGCACAAGAGCGACGATTCGCCGGCAACTGGCAACGATCTGCATCTGCGATCTGTTGTGGTTGTCCCTCTGCTCGTTCCCCCAATCGCCACTCCCCGCTCTCCGCTATCCCCGCTCCGTGCTCAAGTTGCCCAAGTGCTGCGTCTCCTTAATGTTTATAAGCCTTACGCACACTTATGTTTTAATTTCGCTGGCCCAGTCTCGGTGCCGGTTGGTGTTGTGGTTGTGTTGTCGCTGCTGTTTCTACTTGAACAAACTGCAGATTACCCAAGTTAAGCCCTTAAGTGTGTTCCATATCAGGTTTATCAATGCGAGCCTTTTTGTTGTATCGCGTTATATCGCATCGACGACGAGCATTCGCTTCACTGCCCATATGAGCGAACGGCCGGTCGAACGGATTAAATATATCATTTTTGCCTGTCTAATGAAAGGGTTGTCCCGTCCACTCGGCTAACACCTGAAAATTGCAGTTGTCGATCCTGTTCACAGCAACCTGCTCGCAAAGGCAACTTTTTGTTTTTTTTTTTGTTTTTGTTTTTGTTTTTTTTTTTGTTTTTGCGTATTTGGAACTACATAAATGCTTTATGAAGAAAGTTGTACATGGGGGTAGGAAATATAGCAGGCGTAATGATTGATATTGAGGAAGTTCTCTTGCGGTTGTACATATTATATTTTCATACACTGCAACAAATTTATGGATATACTTCTTGAATTAAATTTTAATAAATTAATTTTTAGAATAAATTTTAAATTTTTCTAGAAATTCTTTTTATATAAATAAATAAATTTTAAATGAAATCACT